TTCTAACTTCTCAATTTCATTTTAATTTTTAGGAAAAGCAATGTAGTTCTGGTTCATGTCTCACTTCTCTTCACGTTTACCCTTTAACTGATTGCGTTGTTTCCTCTCACAGCTCCACAGAAACCTTTCTGACAAAAGACACCAGGGACTTCTGAAATGCTACCTCCAATGGATAATTTTCATCTTCATATTATTTTATTTCTTCTCTTCCTTTGCTGTTTTAATTATTCAGTCCTAGAGAGTCTCTGTTTTTTTTGGCTCCTTTAAAGCCACACCTACATGATTCTGTATACACTTCTCTTATGATTTAATTTATGATATACTCATGAGTTTTGTTTTTACCTTCCCACCTTTTAAGTATCAGTGCCTTTCAGGGATCTTGTCATATAGATCTCTGTATATCTATCCTACATTCAATATACTGAGATCTATCCTACATTCAATATACTGCTAAGTCTACATATGGTCTACATTACATTTTAACTGCCATGTATACATTTTCCAAGTTATTGCTATCTCTTCAGTCCAGAATGTGTGTAGTCTTGAACTTCAGACCAATGTAGTCACCTTTTAGATGACTTAATTGTTTCACAAAAAAAAAGCCCCTCAAATATTTAAGTTTTTCTACTCTAAACTCTCATGTGTTTCTATAATTTCTAACCTAGTGACATTGTAATGTATTAATTCTATAAAAATCGAGAAATACTTGCAATCTTGACTCCTTTTTTAAGATTTTACCTCCTATTAATTACTGAGTACTACTAAATTTATCTCTTACAGGTTTATCAAATTTGTCTCTTTCTCTCTGTTTCTAATACCACTGCTCTGCTTTAGCCTCTTGTTCTTTCTCACTGTATTGCTGCAATATCCTTCTGTCTACACTTCTATTTCCTGTTGTATCTCTTACAGTCATCTTCCACATATGTGTCAGTAGGTGTTAACCTCAATGCACACCTGAAATATCACTTACTTCACTCAAAACCCTCCAAAAAATTTCTGCAACCTATATTAATGGTTCTCAAACTTTGTTTTAATATTCATACATTCTAAAAGTGAAATTTTACATAGAGTTCAAAATACAAAGTCATATTTTCAGTAATTTAAATTTCATAATTGTAATTTTTTGGTTACATATAGATTAATTTCTGACAAGTGTGATGAAAGTCTAACCATTTATTAATAGAGTAGCCCTTTCCTGCTTACAGAACACTTTAGTATTTTTTTGTTTGTTTGCTTGTTCCTGACATGAACTCTCTGTTGTGAGAAGGACAGGATATTTGCATTGCAACTTTATAGATGATGTTACTAAGAGTGAAAGATCAAATGACTTACTCAAGATTGTCTGACAAGTTTAATAAGAAAATTATTCTAGATTCTTAAAAGGTTCACAATATAGTGAGAAAAACATAAATATAACAAAAACATAATGTACTAAGTAATGAGTAAAAGTAAATATAAAGTGATAAGGAAACACTGACAAGAGAGCAGTTACTCTGATGATAATCAAGGAAAACTTTTATGTTAAAAATCCTGGTAAACGGATGGGGATAGAACATTTAAAGCAGAAGAAGAAATAGTATAAAATAAAATATTGAGGTTTTAGAAATTAGGATGGTGTTACAATCTGGTGGATACCCTGGCATGGCATAAACAGAGATTATAGGGAAGTGGTGCAAATTAGTTTATGGGAAAGAGAGAATTGTCTGAAGACGAAGGAAGAAAGATAAGTTGAGATTTAGTTGTAAAATGGATACTAATGGTTTTGGACCTTGGCCTCTTGACAATGGAGACCATAGTTTGGGTGAAAGTAATAAGCAACTAGACTATAATCACAGATAAGAATTTATAGAGAATTGTCTAAGCATCTTGATATAAGGAAATTGGCTTGTGCAGTTCTTGGGTATAGAGAGTAAAATAAATTGGAATTAAGAATGACAAAAATTTCACATTTGAAAACAATGTAGATATACTATCATTCAGGAGAAGAAATGAAGGCAACAGTGAGGGAACATACGATCATGGTTTTGAACATGAGAAGTTGATGTCTTGTAGACAAACAAAAATGATGAACTGAAGACAAGGATCTGAGCTAGAGATAATGGTTTGGGAACTATTAATCTGAATTAGATAGCTGAAGCAGCCCAAACCACTTGGGAGTCTATGAAAATGAGAAGATTGAGAATAGTTCACTTAGAAGCAACATAAAGTTCAAAAAAGAAAAAAAAATCCCATTACAAGAAGAGAACCATATGCAAATAAAGAACCAGGATAGTCGAATCATGGAGTTTAGGCAAGAAAGTTGAGAGAAGAAAGCTGTGGCAAATACTGTTAAGTGTTATACAAACAAGTAAGTTAGGAAACGTGGGAGACAAATTGTGTTTTACACTAGATCCTGGATCAACTTTTATTATCAATATCCCTTCTTCTATAATATTCTTATGATCTCCAAGTGATAGATGCTCAATATTAAGTTTTCCATATCTTGACTCATTCAAGAATTGCTTCATTTTTGTCTATCAATGAATTTTTCTAAACAAAAGCACCTTTGAAATGGTTAGTATTGCTTCATTTCCCTTTCTTCATCTACAAATGTAAGACATTATTAAGCAGCCATCATTTTTAGTCAATATAATAGCAGTAGAAGACTTTCATAAAGCATATACCGTTCTATCTGACCTTTTCATTATTTTTATGTTAGGCTGTATGAATACCTGTTCTTAAACATGATTGTTATAGTCACATGTACTTGAAAAAGGGTGATGTTTTGTCTCAATATTTTGAACGAAAGTGATGTTTGATCTTTATGTGTCCACATTTCATTAGATTAAACTCCATGAAATTAAGGCCATGTCCTGCATTTAGTGCAGCACCTGGCACATAGTATATGTTAAGTGAGTGTGTTTGTTTAATGATCAAATAAATGAGGCTCTAGAAACAAAGAATGATATGTCAAGAGATAGGTGAAGGAGCAAGAGAAAGGATTACTTAAGGAGCAAATTTATAATTTAAATTAATATGTTCTGCCCCTGAGTAATTGAAAGTTCAATAACTCTCTTGTTAATTACAACTTTCCACTTACATTCTTATGGGATCATTCAGTTTGAGATTTGCTCATACTTTACCTCTGCTCTATTTATGGTGCTTTGTTTTCCTAAGGGAACTAATAAGATACAACCACTTCCAGAACTCTATTTAAAACTACTTGCTAGGCAAAATTCTAGGAACATCAAAGACTAATCATTAAATTAAAATGAATGCAACAAATTATGCATGTTATACTTTCACTAAAGTAGATTCAAAGTTATCTCTATTTGGAAAAATAAACGTATCTAAATGCAAACTTCCTAAGTTTTCTCATGGGGTCATACTTCTTCTGGGTCAGCACCCGATAATCATCAGAAATCTTCTGTATAATACCTCTGACAAGCCAGTATTGCATACATCACCATCATTACTATTGTCATATCATGCCATATATATATATATATATATATTATATATATAAATATATATATAATATATATAAATAGCAGCAATGTCATTAGTATAGCATTTCCTATGTGCCAGACATTGAACAGATCACATCTTTGTGAAGAATATATTATTAGTCAAGATTCTTAGATAAATAACTGGTGCTTTGGAGAATGAGATACTTCAGATTATTTAGCAGCAAAACCAAAATTTTAACCTGTGTCTATGTTGCTGCCCAAAATACCTCCAAAAAATATCTGTTGATAAGCAAAATCAAGTTTGTTAGGCCTAGTGCAGTAAGGGATAATACCACCTTGATAGAGTGCATTAGTTTGCTAGAGTTATTGAAACAAAACACTACAAATTTAACAAAAATTAGTTGTCTCACCATTCCATGCATTGTCAGGGTTGATTCCTTTTAAGGTCTTTAACAAAGGATTTGTTCCAGGGGTCTTGCCTAGATTCTGCTAATTTTCTTATGATTTTTGGTGTCTCTTGGCTTGTACACACAAGATCCCAATCTCTGACTTCATGTTCACATGGTGTTCTCCCTGTATATATCCATGTCTATCTCCCCTTTTTATGTGGATACTAGTCAGATTAGATTAGGGACCCATGCTCCTTCGGTATGACCTCCTTGTATCTTAAGGTGTTACATCTGCAATGACATATTTCCAAATAAAGAATACCTATGTGCAGCAATAACCTAACTCATTTTTGATGGAGACTCTCTGTCTGCAAGTCAATCTGTGTATCTATTTATCTATTCACACACATATATCCTTTCCCAAGTCTTTTGTTTTCTATACAAATAACTAGTTTCTTCAAGTTTTCAAATAACATCTATCTTTATATCATAAACAGTAAAACATTTTATATGATGCCAATGATGTTGATACCTCCAAGCATTGTTTTAGATAGTAACATTTTTAACATCTTATTTCTTCTTACATCCTAAACTTGGCTACACTTGCAAGTACAAACTGAATGAGAGTATGTTTGATTCATTTCAACCATCTAAACACTATAGTTCTGATATAATGTGTTACCAGTTTATTGGCAATATACAAAGCCATATGGCACTTCTACCACAAACACTGCCAAAGTTAGTTTGGCAGTATTTAAAATGTAATAAATTCTTTGCCTAAGCATTTCTAGGTAATCATGTTTATCAAAATTCCTTTGTACTATCCATCAGACATATAATATATACAATAGAGAAGGGGTTTCAAATATGGGTTTTATAGTCAGGGTGTCTACATTTGAGGAAAAAAATGGGAAAAATGTCAAGAATTGTCTCTTTTGGTAAGAAAACACTTTTCTAAATACATACCATGTAGAGAGTTATGCAATTCATTTTACTTTATAAATATTCTGTTATGGATAACTAGATGGGGGTAATGAAATTCAACAATCAACAGAAACCTTAAAGCAATTTAGAGTTCTTTTGAACCTTAAAAAAATCCAATAAGCACTTTGAAAAGAAAATCAATGAGGAGTTTTAAGTCTTTCCTTTTGATTTGCCACAGGATCCAGGTTTTCTCTCTGAGGCCCTTTTTCCTACACATGCAACACAAATTGAAGAGAAGGATCCTTTCTTCAAACTTCATGAAACCATTACAAAGGTAAGAGAGGAATGCATTGATAAACACTTTAGGAAAGTTTTGTTCTTGTTGTTGATAGATGGAGAAAAGAAGCATAGCCAATGAATTAAATCTATATAATTTTATTTGCAGAAGGTACTGGAAAGGATTTTAGTACATCGTATCATTTTACTAAAGAGTAATGATTCAAAAAAAAAATATTCAAGATCATACAAACCCAAACTGAAGATTTGTATTAAAATAAATCTTTAATAAAACTAGATTTTAATTCTTAATATGAAAAGAGATATGTATTATATCAGATATACCTCTGCACTTTATGTGAAGAGCAATACAAAATTGGTCTTTAGATTTCTCTGTACTCAAAGGCTTGTTTAACTATTTAAAATACTTGTTTGTTTGTGGTGCATTTTAGTTGCAATTAAAGAAAAGACCTCCTTTTAAAAAGACCACTTATAATGAGAAATGTTTTTACTGTACGCTTTCAATGGTTCAACTTACGATTTTTTGACTTTTTAATGGTGCAGAAGTGATATGCATTCAGTAAAAATCTTACTTGGAGTACCCATCCAACTAAGTTGTTTTCACTCTCTCTTTTTTTTTTATTTTGAAGATGTTTTTACTTTTAATGTAGTAGTTAACAAATTACATGAGATATTCAACACTGTATTATAAAATAAGCTTTATGTTAGATGATTTTGCCCAACCGTAGGCTTATATCAGTGTCTGAGCACATTGAAGGTAGGTTATGGTGTTTGGTAAATTGGGTGTATCTGATGCATTCCTGACTTACGATGTTTTTAACTGACAGTGGGTTTATTAGGATGTAACTGCTCTGTAAATTGAGGCGCATCTGTATGTAGCTGTAAGTTTATTATGTGAAGACAAGTTTTGCAGTATGGAGCAAATAAATGTAATGTTCTTGACATTGCATAACATCATATGCCTTTTCTCATTTAACCTATCATGATCTGCCTTTTGAGGATATAATTCATAGAAAATAGTGGCATTTTTGTACTATTAAAATAATTTATGTTTATATATGCTTACTTGAATGATTAAATCGTCCTTACATCTTAGTGAAATTTTATAAGGCTATTTTTCTCTTTTAAAAAGACAAAATATGGTATAGTGAACTGAGCTCAATGAGTTGTGATAGATGAGCTCAGATCACAAAGACTAAGGCCTAGGATGATCTCTAACACTTAAGAGCAGTGTGAATTTATTTTTTCTGAACCATTGAAATAATAGAAGTTTGAATTACCTTTTCCTTAAAATTCTTCTAAGCTCAGAATATCTGAATCTAAACTATCCATTTATTATGTTTAGCAAATTTTTATAAGACAATGCCTATCCCAGTACCTTGACTTAGTTTTTAATACCTTCATTATTTATTATTATTGGATGTCAGATTATCGGATATAGTGAGATAGAAGTGGCCCCCAAATACTTCCTTACTATTCAAAATCTTAGCTGTATTGTTAATACTTGGAGATTATATATATAAAATATGTATATATAAATATTTATGAAGTAATACATATATATGATGAATATATACTTAAATGTGTAGATAGATATATAATGAATACACGTATTCATTCAAATATTCTAGATACTTAGAGTTTGCATTTATTTACCATTTTTAAGCAAAGCTTAAAAGAGAATTTTAAGGCAATGGAATAATAATAATATCTCCATTTATTTTTTTGCTCTCGCGTGAATCAGGAAATCAAGGATTTTTGTGGAAGGGATAGTTTGAGTCCATGTTGACATCAGACATACAACGAGATGACAGTGTCTAGGGTGTGAACTCCCCAGCCAGAGGAAATGTTAGGTTTTTTATTTCAGAGGAAAAAACACACACTGATTTTCGATGCCTGAGGTCTTGGCCACACTTCTAAGAACATGTTGTGAAGTAGGGATGGATCTGGAAGGGAATAAGGAAGCACAGAACATAGCCTGAACATACTCCATTGTTTTAAATTAGTGTGAAATAGAAAATAAGAGACCATTGGAGAGAAGATCAATTTGTTCACCGATATTGGTATATATTTTACATGTGTTTTCAAATATATTCAATGTGTAGACAGATATTTAGTTAACCATTAAATGGATGTTGGAAAGTCTATGTCTGTAAAAAATAAAACTTGTTTAAGTGCAACAGCAAGAATTCTGTAAGACGTTTGATGGTCACATATACTTAACCAATGTCAATTCTGTTTTCCCAATCATCATGTCTACCTACACTCGTATTGCAGACATGGGCCAAGGGAAGAAATTGTGAATCAAGAATTCAGACTTATTTCACCAACAGCAGCACAGGGGAGCCATAGAAAGAAATGTTTAATAAATACTTCATTTTAATGTTAATTTTTTAATCGAGAGCAAAATGAGAACACCTGTTACATATGGAGGGGTTGAATAGAGTACATGACTAGTAAATATGAAATATAAATTTTAGTTGTCTCTTTACTGACAAATTGTTATATTACTTAGCAGAACTATTTTATTTTCTACATCAAAAAGGAGTATATACTTATAATGCTCATCCTCACTAGGATTCTGTGAGATTGAAAGAGCTGAATATATTTTCTCTGGAAGCATAGTATGTATTTAATTATTATTATTAACACATAAAAAATACTAGTGCTAAAATCTTTAAAGTAGGTCTTTACTTGCATTTTCTGAATTTTGTGTTTACTGTAAGGATACACACACACACACACACACACACACACATATATCTGTTATATATATAACAGATATAAAAACATATAACTAAACTTATCAAAAGCTGAGAATACACCAAGTGTATACAAATGAAGTATAAAATTTCATTTGTGAAGAGTTGAAGTTTTTAGAATACTTTGTTTTATTAAGGATAATGGTGGTATTATCACAACATATCATATGTTGAGTATACTTTTATTCTGCATGATTGTGTGACATTATGTAAATAACACTGGACTTTGAATTTTAAAATCCCAGCTATGTATAAATTATTAATTATAAATTATGACAAAATAAATAAAATATGAGAAGCATTTGGTAAATTTATCAAGCCTTATTATTAGTAATATTATACCAATATGAAAGCATTTTTCAACCTGGGCAACATAGAAAGACTCTTTCTCCACAAAAAATTTAAAAAATTAAAAGAGCATGGTGGTGCTGTAGTCTCTGCTCCTCAGGAGGCTGAGGCTGGAGGATTACTTGAATCCAGTTCAAGGCTGCATGAGCTATGATTACGACCACTGCACTCCAGTCTGGGTGATGAATCAAGACTCTGTTTCAAAAACGAAAAAGAAAAGGAAAGCATTTTGAGGAAACTAAAAGTAATTGACATATTGAACATACAGCTTCTTATTTCTTCCAATAAAGGTTTGTTTTTGATATAACACCACAATATAATCACATATTTTATATTACTTAATGAAATAAATATACTAAATATGTATCTAATATGAACATACACATATGATACAACCTATTATCTTTTCCAAATGAGTAAATTTTTCATTCTAGATCTTTTCTATGGATTACAAGCATGATTTTATGTCAAATTAAATTACAGTTGCTATGTATTAGGAGGTTAATAACATCATTGAGTCTCTGCTAAATTTAAAAAATATTTTGTTTCATTTTTATTTGTATAAATTTATGATGTACAAGTGCAGTTCGCTTACATGCATAGATTGTATAGTACAGAATTCAGGACATTCAGGGTATCTATCTCCCAACTAATGTGCATTAGACAATATTTTAAAATAAATGAATCATGGTCATAGATGAGATGTGAGCTGTGAGTCCTTGAAAGTAGTTTTCTAATGTTGTCTTACAGTTCCTTTTTTTTTTTTTTAAGAAAGTTTAAATTTGTCTTGGCATTTGTCTTTTTGATATAAAGCATAGAAGCTAAGAAAGTAATGAATGAGGCCCAATATTGATGCTAAAAGATGTAATCTGTCATGGCTTCAATGACACTCAGGTGGTACAGTGCATCATTACCAGAGAGTGACACATGCTGCATCAATGTTGAAGATGTTTTTCTTATCCTCTATAATTACCTTAAAATAGCATTTTAAAAAATCATAGAAACCAAACTAATTCCTTCAAAGACTAAACATGAGTTAATTGCCAGTATAAATCCTAGCTGTGTAATCCTTTAATAAATGAATACAAATCACCATGTATTCATGTTCTGAAATAGGTTTAGTTCTCCTTTTACACTTAGGAGTGTTCTAGTTATGTTTCTAAATCTTTAACAGTTAGCTCATAAATTGTGATTAGTTATCTATGTATTCTAGTAGTCTACTATAAGTCAAACATGCAACAAAACACTTGAAATACAAAAACAATATGCAGGAGAGAGTCAAGGGAATAAATAAGGCAAGTAATCGTTTAAATAAAGTATATTGAAAGAGATAATAGTAATGTGGCCAAAGTATGGGACAGAAAGAGATAGAGCTTTTGCCTCTGATTTGAAGATTTGAAGAAGAATTCACCAGAGAGGTGACATTTGTGGAATTTCAGCTTTGTCTTAATGTCAATAAGTTTCTTTTGACAGTGCTTTAAAGATCAGGTTATTGGTGAAAGTGTGTGAAAAATAATGACATATATTTTAGAGAACAGAAGACAGTTTCGAGAGAGAGTTTTAAAATCGAATGACAGGTTAGATGATGTGGTTGTGAAGTAGAGTGGTGAGTCAAGGATAATTTCAATGATTCTATCCTAGGCAAAGTTGATATCATTGAATAATTATTAACTAAATTAGGACTGGTTTGGAGAAAGTGATAATGAGCATGATATGGAACTTGTGGAATTTTGGAGTGCTGTAAGGCATCAAGTTAGATAACATCAAAGAGGCTATTTGATATATGAGATTGGTGCTCAGAAAGAAATAGGGTCTGGAAATACACTGTCAAGCACAGTCACCACTAGTTACATGTGAATTTAAATTTAAAAACAATTTAGATTAAGTAAATTAGAAGTTCAATTTCTCAGTGGCATTAGCCACAATT